AATACAATATCGTGTTGATAACCCATATATAACAAAACAAAGCATTTTGTTCGCAATTTTGGGCTTCTCTTGGATGGTTTTAGAGTGGCAATCATCAAGACCAAAGATATGGTCTTCAGGTCGGCTATATTGCATTTTTTCTTTTATTGCCATGTCATCCACGACTAAAGAACAAATTCGCTCTATTGGTACTTTAAGAGCAGCTATTTCAGACTCTAAGCGCTGTTTGCACAACGCTTTCGAACCTTTATATTCACCAAGATATTTGGATATGGTAGTCTTGGAGGGAAGTTTGGCCAAATTGCTTCGACAGTACTCGTATCCTTTTGCAGAGCAAAAACGCCAAAGGGTACACATACGGATTGTCATTTCTGACCACCGAGGCGACTTTTTTGCATAATTGTTAATAACATCCATTAAAAATAGAGCTTTTTGATCTGAGTTTTCAGCATCCCGTGATATTTTCTGTATTAATTTTGAGTTATGGCTTTGATTTTGAAGTTGCAATTCGAGATCTGTAATTTTTGACCGACACTTGGAATACTTGTTAGTCATACGTTTTAGTTTTTGATTTAAGACTTTGCAGTGGTAACGTAGGTTTTCAAGTTCATTAGAAGGAATGGAGACTTGGACTAATTTGGAATTGGTTTCATTTTGGTCAGGAACAGTTGGAGGAATATGGGGATATTCTATTGGATCAGGAATATTCTACAAATTAAAGTCATTTATAATTTTACCTTAATATGTGTATTTATTTTTTATTGGATAATTTCTATTTATATACTCACAAATACTGAAGGTCTAACTCCTTTAATTAGCCGGCAAGATTTTTTTGTAAAATAAAACGAATTTTCTTCAAAGTGATCTTTACAAATTACTGACTGATCTTTTAATTTTGAAACATCTATGAAAAACAAGTCGAAAAAGCGATACAATTTTGTTAGGGTCTGCGTAAATTTACCACATAATCTTTTAATAATTTCCAGCCATTCAGTACGCTGTTTAAAATCGCTGGGGAACTCAAAAAGATTCGTATCACCCTTGCCACAAACGAAACACTTCTTTCCCATTATGGAATCTTCGCCAAATAACAAAATCAAAATTAACAACAAAAATAGACAACAATCAAAATTAACAACACAACAACAACACAAAAATAGACAACACTTATAAAATATAACTATTAAATTGTAATTTCACAACACAAACTTCGAATTTGAATTTGTCAAGTTCAAAATTTGACAACTTGGGGACGCCACTGCACGAACATGCATCGGCTACTAGATCGGAACAGTTTTATAAACGGAGTGGAGAGGCCGTATCGGAACGAAGTGGAGATAGATACAGTTGGCCGTGGTTAAAGATGCATTTCGACTTCTACAACCTACTTGATGCACATTAATATCAAAAACAGTATAGAATATCCTTGTTGCAATTGTTTGTATCTTAATTTACTTTTAAAATAGTTGAACAGGATGACAAAATTCACTCAAGTTTAAACGATTACAGGTAAACTATTCTAGCAGAAATAAAGTTAAAAGCACGCGAGTAAGCCACAATTTCTGCCGTCTCTTCCAATTTACTTAACCCGGTTTGATTCTTGAGCATTTGCAATTTGAAAACTTAGTGTTGTTTAATCCTTTAGTCGCAGCCCTCACGCCGGATTATTTATTCACCTGACTTTGAATAAAGAGTGGTAATTAAGACGTAGCTACTTTACATAATTACACTTTGCGAGGAACAATTCGCACGGTTCTGTTTGAAATTTCGGAACACGACAGGAACCGCCCCTTAGACGGCTAGGGCCACAATAAGCGTCGTGCGCTGTACTTTTGATTAATGTCACGTAATGACACGGGAAATGGAGCGAACAAAACGAACAGAAAACAAAACAGGATACAGCATTGTTCTGCTACGGCATCCACGGTAATTCTTGGACTTTCGCCGACGTTTTTAATTGAACGGACGACGATAAAAGCGTCGCGACGAAACAGACTGACCAATAAAATATTTAACGATGCCGTCGACAGACAATTAAATTTGTTGAATGAACAGAGAAAATTAAGAAACATGATACACTCGCACGAACGAAATAATTAAAAAATGTAATTTAGTTCTTTTCCTTGATGTACTAAAATTATATTCGAGTTATACGATCGATTATATTTTTCGGTGGAGTTTTGATCTGATGAGAATTAAAATCGCATCAAGAATGTGTCGGAAAGGAAACTACAACAATGAACAGATTCATTATTCAGAAAGCCAATAAAACATACCCACACGTCAAATGAATAAAATACTTGTCTTATTTAACTTTCGAGTCATAAACTTTTCCTTGCACGAGGTGTCATTTGTGGAAAACTTATAGTTTCATGATCCCACCAGTGGCGTGCTGTACTTTTAATTATCGAGTTTCATGTTGCCCAATAAAGAAATGATAATAGCGGAATTAATTCTTAATATCACGGGAATGCAGTTCGAATATAGCGTGCAATTTTTCTTTTGTAAATTTGTTATAATCATCTTCTTCCATCAAGCACGATACCTGCTGTTTTTTAATCGAAGTTGAAGATTTCTAATTGAGGTAATTAAAACGTGAGGATGTTTCTGCGTTGAATTAGCCTCTAGTCCAAAGTTTGCAAAATTGTTGTGAAGCTTATTCTGAGCCAAAAATATCTTAAAATTATGCTCAAATCTCTGAACACATTCTCGTAAAAAGCAACTTCAACACGATTAACTTATAAACGAACTTGGAATGAACTAAATTTTTCTGATGGAATCTACGATAAGTTTACAATTTATACGTAATATTGCAAACAATCGCTCCTCAATGGTACGATGACCTTGTAATTTAAAGATTATTTTGTACTATGATTGATGACGTCGAATATATCTGGATAATTATTACGTACACGAATATGAAGTTCTTTTTGATTTATTTGCATACAACATGTTCATTGGGAAAACAGAAAGCATTAAAAGACTTGAGTAGAAAGTACGTTATTAATGTCATTTCATAGAAAACAGTAATGAATGAGTAGGGTTCGTGTTTTTTTCTTCATTAATGTAACTGTACATAGAAGTTGACATAAACAGATTGAATCGGTCAATAGAAGTAATCGACTTGCAAAATCTCAATTAGACTTTTTTAAGATTTGAAAGTGGGTTAGAGGGTAGTGATACATTTGATGAAACACCTGTTTAGGCATCCTCTATAGGTACGTGCTGTGGCAACGTTGATTTTGCTGAGCTAATCATAAGAGTGAATCAGCGCAAATGGAATTAGCAGCGTGGTATTTGCCACTAATATGATTATTAATCAATTTGGTTGCACAGAACACAGAACTATCAAATAGAGTAGACCGCATCTAAATTGGCTGCCGGTGAATCCATTTGACTGAAGCCGAATTAAATCAAAAATCATACAAGATTTTAAAATCAGAAGCGCAAAAATTGAAACAATATAAATAAATAAAGTGGAAAAAAAATTAATCGTGTACATACAACGAAATTTCAATTAAAGTGTAAACAACGGGCTAACGCTTTGCTAAACTCCATTAAAAATCCGCTTTATTGTGCCTGTTCTTATTAAACCGTGTTTATTTTACTCTCTCTCCTGTTTCGGTTATGTCCGTCTTCCTCCCTTGTGCCATTAAAAAGACACCTCGAGTGTTGTAATAGTGTTTGGTCAATTGCCAGTTGTTTGCGCAACTACTCCATTTCGACCTTTGATGTCGCCATCAAACGACAATACAGACATATACTGGTAGTTAACACAGATGCAAATAACGGAGCTGTTTTAGTTTTTTTCTTTTCCTATCTCTACATTATGTGTACATACGCGAACATGCTCCATCACAAAGGACATTTTTTGATGATTTATTTTATCCGAGAGCCTTTCATCGAGTTGTGACATTTATTTTGACAGAGCTCCTTGCGTACATATTTATGTTGAGTTAATTGAGAGACTGAGTAAACGTTCGGTCAAAATGTCGATTCTCCCCCTATAAAATAATAAAGCAAAACGAAACCGACGCTCGATCAATTCTCGTGATTAACAGCAAAAATTTCGAAATAATAAACTGGCTTTATCCAAGATTAAATCCTCCGGTTTATTCACTTCGATTCGTTTTTTTTTTCTCATACTCCCGATGACAAATGACAAATGGACAACTTACACCATTAACGAGGAAAAATGATCACACACAAAAGGCTATAGCGTTGAATAAATAATGACTGTCGAACAGGCAGATTGATAATTGCTAAAGTGGATCGGATTGTAGGCTAATGTTCTGCGTCCATTTTGAATTAGCCATTTCACAGGTAGTGTCATCACCGTAAACCACACCACGCATATACCAATATCAAAAGCTATATTTATTGACTCGAAAAAACCTCAACACTTTTTTTCATGTCAACGTACTGAATTACGTAGGCCAAGCAAAGCGTAATGTTTTTGATTTAAAAGATTCCAAAACTGGAAATTAAAGTCACTGCAGATCAGCGGAGGCTTGCGCCTAAATATTTATTTTTACAATAAATGTAATATATGCACTGTTTATCCACAATGCTTTAAACTTAATCAAGTCGCTGTCAGGTCCAACCCTACATCCAAAATTAATCAGTTATTTGCGATTAACCGCTAAAATGTGCAATGAAACATAATGCGGTCCACATTAAACGCGCAACTCTTGTTCGCATTGGTAGCATATGTTCAGGTGTATAACAACCCAAAGCAAACCACAGATTTCCATTTGTTAAAATTACTCGCAAACTGTCCGATGCATAACTTCCACCACCGCAAAAAGAAATCCTCTCAACACGTCAGTACAACCTTAAGAGATAAATAAGTTAATATGTTGCCAGGGTTGAGACGTAAGTTCGTTAATTTTTGTCGCCGTCCGTTAATCAACTTACGTGTTAAATATTGGATGTAAGGAAAATCCGAATAATTTCCTGAAATTCAAACAATTTAAAGTTTCGTTCGAAGGAGAATGCGCCCGAGAAAGGGACCGGCAGACTTTGAAAAAGAAGAAGAAACTGGAACGATGATCTATAATTTAATGTTCGGAAGAAAGACAACGTACGTGTCTTGGCCATCTCCGGGTGGCTTCAATAAATAAAGAGATTTCTCGCCCCGGCGACAAAACTCGAAAAATACACCCCGACACATATATCACAAATCTAAAAAGGGAAGCTTCAATATTTATTCAAAGCTCGCGACTTCTTTCTTCCGCCTTTTAAATAAACGATATCCTCCTCCATGGCACGTTTAAGATATTTTATTGATGATAATAAACGAGGCGAGGTTCTGACACGTTAATCGCAGTATTTTTGCGGCACCCTTCACGACGAATAATAAATACATAGCCATTCACATATCAACATGTTTGATAAATGAACTATTTGAATAGGCCGAGGGTGGTGGAAATGTCGGCATTTTTCAGGTCGTTTCAGTTACGAAATGATACTGACTGAACCCGGAACGAACGGACCTCCTATTCATCATTCTCCGGACTCTAAATTCAATGCCATCTTTATACTGCAAATGACTTACCTGAACACCAGTGATTAATGAGAAGACTTTTAATTGATACGCCAGTTATTGGAAATCGATTTTTGACTCGTCCTTATTTCTTTGATTTGTTTGTTTTCCAGCCGGTCAATTAGACAAAATTCTCGCAACGTAAAATGTTTTTCCTCGAGCGAGCAGAGAAAATACTGAATTATTTTCAAATTGCGCCATGCGAAGACATCTCGAACAAAAAATAGGTCTGACAATGCAATAACCCTGATTGAGGTATTTCAGGACGAATGCACGCCCCTGAAACGAGATTAAGCCCAACTTGCCGCATTTCGCTAACAAACATCGAGGGTGTAACACATCAAATCCAATCAGGGTTTCTTGTATAGGTGCTGAATGGTCTTTAATGAGACAGAGTAATTGGAGGATCAAGCTTTCACAAGACCGGTACACGACTCAAATGTCCTGTTCCCTCCCGTTCGAAAGAATTACACAATTTGATTTGATTGCGGTTTTTAGAAGATTTTAAAAATTGCGGCCCGACTTTGAAAAAGAACTATAAAATAAATAATTTATGGAATAGTGTCGAGTGCGATAACGTGGGCACTCCCGGACGCCGAACGCTCTTTTTACGCCGGCTATAATCCAATTTTACTGCTTCTACCGTGTGCGTATGATGGACAAATCAAATTAATTTCCTTTTAAATTGATTACCTGTTTTCGGTTGTTTTTCCGAACGCTATCTGTATTAATGTTGTTACATTATTAAGGGCCCAATTGGCTCCTTATCCGATCGATTGTTTCCGACATGTAAAGCAAGAAAAAAAATTAGTGTCGGTGTTTCCTCGACATGGATGAACCGCATTAAGATGGATGTTGGCGCTAAATTAAGAACCATTAAGACGCATGTAAAATGATGCTGATCGTTTGCGAAAAATGTACCATAAATCACCATGACCTTAGTAACTTCTTGCCAACATTAGTAGTAATACCATCAAAGCAGGCAGATGTTAAAATTAAATTTTCAATGAAAAATGTGATGGAGGAACATGGAAAAAAATCCAGTTATAAAACAACAAATATATGTTTACCTTCTGTGTAGAAAAGCAGGACACGTAAAAATACGCCTCGAGATAATATTTTAACTGAAATTGGATGAACAGAACAAAAAAGAAAGTAGCAAGCAACAACGGAAGATACACCTACTTGAATAAATACATTTTAGTGTCGTTACATCCACAAAATATTGTTTGTAAACATTTATAAAGATTCTAATTACCCCACTGTGTAGGTACTGTACTGTTATTAAAATAAACGTAGTTACTTTTGTAACAAGTAGGAGTATTTTAAAGCCTCATCCTACTTGTTACGTACAAAACTTTATCTACGACTGCCTAAATTGAAAAATAATTCATTGCCGTAGATAAGAATTTTCAGGTTTGTAGACATTTGTAGACCATTGTTCAAAAATTGAATTCTAAAATAAATGAAATAATTTCAGAATAAGCGTTTATTAAGAATCCGGTTTCATTTTGAACTTTAGTTCATGTTTTCCTGTTATTATTAATGGATCGTGTTTTTCAGTGAAAGCTTTATTTTTTCTCTTGGAAGCGACCTGAAAGGTTGACCTTATCCGTCTGAAAAATGATTCATGAAGTATTAATTTTAATAAAAGTCTGCTCTAGTTCAAACCTCCGTCAACAAGTCGTCAATGTTAAAAAAGGCCAGACCACTTTAAAATTAATATTTTAATAATTAATCAATTCTGACCGAGATAATTAAATAAGGAAGATAAAATTAATAACCCTACAATAAAAACTCTGGGCCCCAAATTAATTAATTAAACATAGAAGTGGACGCTTAATAACTTAATTTCTCAAATTCCTGTCTCACTGAAACGGCACTGGAAAAAAGTAAACCGCGCATTACCTTCCAGACTTTAATTAAAAAAAACAAATTCCGGTACATAATAACCCGGAATCACGCCAGAAGCCACAACTAGACGAAGATAAATGACATCGCCCCGATCACAGATTATCGGACCACCTGTCAGACGGCGGCGGATACAGAACAACCCCATTCTAAATCACCGGTAAAGCAGAGCGGTAGCATCTGCCCACTACGTGTACGTCTGCCGTTACGTCGGAGAGGTTTTTTTTCCACGTGGAGTCGCCCCTTAATTGATATATGGCACTGCAGGGACGTTGACGGTGCCGCACCGGAACTCTCTCTTTCCTGCTATTGATCTCACCGTAACTTGTTTGTTCGTCCTTTGACATTCTGGAAGCGGCCCTCGACATATTTTACAAAATACACGGTCTTTATGAACACCAGTTGAACATAACTCCGACATTTTGGGAAAGAGCCTGTTGCTCCCAGATTTATTTGAAAAAAATTAAATAATGTGCCTTGAAAAGCATAAATAATAAATTGCTTCTTTAAATTCTGTTTTATTCTGTAGAATAAAGTAAAGGCTTTTTTGGTTTTCTTTAAAATTAATTGCTATAATCGCTGCGCAAATATTTTCTTCACGTAGTGAAATAATTCCGAAAGAGCAAGCTGTAGGAAGGTTCCAGAAAATTATAACATTTTTCTCGTGAAGATGAATGTGTCACATTTTTCACCACTCTCTTTGTCTTAAGCTTCATCCACTATCATCGCATTCATTCCATCAAAGTTATCAGTGAAATTTGGGTAGCACGCGGTTTTTCGACGCATATTTTTAAGCCAACATCATAAATCTATTTGGAGAAAACTCCGGCCGATCTCATTCATCATACGAACCTTGCAAATGATAGGGCAGGTAATAAACGCTTCCTAATAAAACTTGTTTTCTTACGGCGAAGACTGAGTAGGCCATTATACGCTCCGAAATTAAATTCAAACAACCCCAATATGTTTCCGCGAAAATACTCTAAAGAAAAATCGACGTATCAATCGTAAATCGGACGTATCTAGATTAAGCGGAGATAATCGCCTTTTTCTACGACGATTTGTTTCGATCTCAGGGCGCCGCCCTAGTCGTTGTAACATCTCTGTTCTTGCAGAGAGGACCATAAAATCGTTTCGCAATATGGAAATGGTCGCAGATACATATATGCACATAAAATTAATCGTAAAAATCGCACAATGTAATGATACGTTCGGTGCTAAAATGTAAATTTTCCCATGGAATATACGAAGAGACAAAGAGAAGAGTAGATGGGATCGTAAAAGTCCAGATGGTCTACATCATGAAATCATGATGGCGAACGGCAATTTCCTATTAAAAATCGTTTTTTAAAAATGCCATCCGACGTAACGGTTGCAATGCTTTTGCAACTTTATAACCCTTCGGAGTCCGCGGTCCGCACATAAAATTGTCATCCAGTTTACCTTGTCTTCACAAATAACGACCGCACATACAGTGATAAAACACAATGGAAACACTCAACGGCGACACTACAAGAAATTTAATACGAGTCTTTGTAGAACGAAACAATCGCAACGTTTAGAAGATTCCATTGAAAGAGATAAAACATGTCGGACGTTAAGGGACTCGAAACGACAAAACTGTTCGTTATTTGGCAACGAATCAATCATGTGTAATCAAAGAAAACGAAAATTTTTCCTCGCTGGTGATTTTTGGCTCGTTTTCGGTGCGAGTTTTGTCTTAATTCGGCGGCAAAGTGCAAGGAGGTAATTGGCCGCTTGTAAATGGATCGCTTGTCTAAAACTCGCTCCGAGACAAAAGGGTTCTATCTTGCCAGCCGAGTCTCCCGCTAATTACATGAAGAAACCATTGTTGCGTAAGGGTTTGTTCGTCTCTGTTCGGGGAACAATTACCCAATTACCTTGCTGCTTGCTCTTATTCTAGACACACACTAACGGAATTCCCCGCTATTTTCTAATTTTAATTCAGACTTTTGGCGAAGAATCCGAAAATTAGAGGTAGAACCTTGTTTCTATCCGAAACTAATTGTCACATCAGTTGGATGTTCCGACTGCTGCTTGAATATTTCATGACCGATGTGTATACGGCTTGTTGAGCAAACGTTAAAAAGGAAACTACTCGAACTCTTTAATAATTCATCGAAGGATCCTCGGTAATAGCCTCCTCACTCATTACGCTCATTAATGGGGTCCTTTTGATCTTACAGTTCCAGACAACTTGCGAAAATATTTACGTTTTTAATTCAATTTGTCTTTGCGTTGTCGGGGATTGACGACTGACCGACCTTTCGGTTAAACGGATTTCTCAAGAGACGAACTCGAACGACCGCTTAAAATGCCCCATTAGGTATTACGACTTAGAAGTTTTTATTATATGTTCGTTTACGTTTATAATTTTTAGCTCAATTTCGACCCGAGATTAACTTCATGAAGAAACATTATCCATCAAAACATTAATTATTCACGTTATTTTATATCTCCTTTCGCGAGATCCCAAAGA